GGCCCAGGCTGGTGAGTTTGGGGACCGGCTAGCAGGCAGTGTCTTAAGCCTCCTTTTGGATGCTGGTTTCCTCTTCCTACTGCGCTTCTCCTTGGATGACAGAGTAGATGGGGTCATTGCAACCGCCATCCGTGCTCTTCGGGCTCTGCTGGTGGCTCCTGGAGATGAGGTACTACAGGGGTAGGAATGAGGCTTGGGCTTGGAGGTGCCAGGGTCCATATTCCTATTACTGGGCATGGCCCCATTGCTAAGGCTTTGCAGGCAAGATGTAGAATGGGATGGCAGGCGTCTCCCTCATCTCCTAAAGGCCCCAAAGCCCAGGAGCCTTGCCTTTCTGTTTTTGTTGGGGGGACATCCTCTCTACTCCTGGATCCATTTCCTGGCCCCTTCAGCATCGCCCCCCCAACTCCTTTTCCTCTGGCAGGAGCTCCTCGACAGCACCTTCTCTTGGTACCATGGAGCTTTGACATTCCCTCTGATGCCCAGCCAGGAGGACAAGGAGGATGAGGACGAAGATGAAGAATGCCCAGCAGAAAAAGCAAAAAGGAAAAGCCCTGAAGAAAGCCGGCCTCCACCTGACCTGGCCCGACATGATGTCATCAAAGTAAAGGGACAGCTGCTTTCCCATCCCATGGCCCAGGGGACGAGCACATGCTGGAAAGAGGGGTCATCAGTGCCCGGGGCCCAGCTGCATTTGTCAGTGGGTTTCTCTCTCCAACTCCCAGGGGCTCCTGGCTACCAGCCTGCTGCCTCGACTGCGCTACTTGCTAGAGGTGACCTACCCAGGACCTGCTGTGGTCCTTGACATCCTGGCCGTGCTCATCCGCCTGGCCCGGCATTCCCTGGAGTCAGCCACAAGGGTGAGAAAAAAGGGAGCAGGGAATGGGCACAAAGCCTAGCTGGGCCTTGTCTTGACCCACAGCCTCCTGTCTCCCTTTCTCCTCCTGCCTCCCTTTCTCCTTCTGTCTCCCTTTCTCCTCCTGCCTCCCTTTCTCCTCCT